CGTCGAGCTGGAGGGCGACAACGCGTACACTTACCACGTACAGCTGTTCCTCCCCCCTGGGCTGAGGGAGGACGAGATCACCACTTACCCGATGGTTGTGCACGCGTAAGTGGGCGGAGGCGGTGAGGGAGGAGAGGGAGTGAGAGATCGGGTGGAGAGGGAGAGGGAGGGAGGGGGAGGGCGAGGGGGAGAAGGGATGGAGAGGGAGCGGGAGGGAGAAAGGGAGGGAGGAAGGAAGGGAGGAAGGGAGAGAGGGAGGGAAGAAGGGGGAGAGGGGAAGGAGAAGGAGGGAGGTGGAGGGGGTGTGAGAGAGGAGGCGGAGTGGAAAAGGGCGTGAGAGAGGGGTTCGAGAGAGAGAGGGAGGGAGGGAGGGAGAACGGTATGTGGATAGGGAGAAGGAGGGAGCGAGGGAAAGGGAGGGAAAGCGAGAGAGAGGATGGAGAGGAAGAGGTAGGGAGGGGGAGGGCGAGGGGGAGAAGGGATGGAGAGGGAGAGGGAGGGAGGTGGAGGGGGTGTGAGAGAGGAGGCGGAGTGGAAAAGGGCGTGAGAGAGGGGTTCGAGAGAGAGAGGGAGGGAGGGGGAGGGCGAGGGGGAGAAGGGATGGAGAGGGAGAGGGAGGGAGGTGGAGGGGGTGTGAGAGAGGAGGCGGAGTGGAAAAGGGCGTGAGAGAGGGGTTCGAGAGAGAGAGGGAGGGAGGTGGAGGGGGTGTGAGAGAGGAGGCGGAGTGGAAAAGGGCGTGAGAGAGGGGTTCGAGAGAGAGAGGGAGGGAGGGGGAGGGCGAGGGGGAGAAGGGATGGAGAGGGAGAGGGAGGGAGGGGGAGGGCGAGGGGGAGAAGGGATGGAGAGGGAGAGGGAGGGAGGTGGAGGGGGTGTGAGAGAGGAGGCGGAGTGGAAAAGGGCGTGAGAGAGGGGTTCGAGAGAGAGAGGGAGGGAGGGGGAGGGCGAGGGGGAGAAGGGATGGAGAGGGAGAGGGAGGGAGGTGGAGGGGGTGTGAGAGAGGAGGCGGAGTGGAAAAGGGCGTGAGAGAGGGGTTCGAGAGAGAGAGGGAGGGAGGAAGGAAGGGAGGAAGGGAGAGAGGGAGGGAGGGGGAGGGCGAGGGGGAGAAGGGATGGAGAGGGAGAGGGAGGGAGGGGGAGGGCGAGGGGGAGAAGGGATGGAGAGGGAGAGGGAGGGAGGGGGAGGGCGAGGGGGAGAAGGGATGGAGAGGGAGAGGGAGGGAGGTGGAGGGGGTGTGAGAGAGGAGGCGGAGTGGAAAAGGGCGTGAGAGAGGGGTTCGAGAGAGAGAGGGAGGGAGGGGGAGGGCGAGGGGGAGAAGGGATGGAGAGGGAGAGGGAGGGAGGTGGAGGGGGTGTGAGAGAGGAGGCGGAGTGGAAAAGGGCGTGAGAGAGGGGTTCGAGAGAGAGAGGGAGGGAGGGGGAGGGCGAGGGGGAGAAGGGAAAGGGAGGGAAAGCGAGAGAGAGGATGGAGAGGAAGAGGTAGGGATCGAGGGAGGGGGGTGGGTGGGAGGAAGGAAGACGGAGAGAGAGAGTGGGGAAAGAGGGGGGAAGGGGGAAGAGAAATAGAGAGAAAAAGAGAGAACCGAGAGACAGAGAGAGAGAGAGAGAGTGAGGGAAAATATGTGTCTATGTATAAATAATTTTGTTGGTGAAGGATTAGATCAGGATTTATACCTCGGACGTCCCCAAGGTTTCCTTTGTATATGCAGTGTATGTGTCATCTTGATAAATCTTTGCATTAACGTTGCTTCATCAGCTGGCGATTTTACTGTAGCTTCATTTAAAGAGTCTTATGAAGCAATATGAAAGGATGAGTCAACCTTCACCCTTGCCCCCCCCTCCTTCCCCAGGTATGCCGCCCCGGGCACTCAGGCCGTGACCTCTAAGATGGTGATTTCCTGGGGCACTTACCTGGCCTCCAAGAAGGACATTATCTACGCCATGATCGACGGCCGCGGCTCGGGCTTCCAGGGCGACAAGATAAAGCATGAGGTTCGTAAAAGCGTGTTTTTGTTTCTTTTATGAAAATCTGAAGTCTTCTGGATAAAATGGTGATAATAGAAAGGGACAAAAAAAGATTGATAACGATAAGACCGGTATGATTATGAGGATATTATTGATAATGGCGATAGAAAAACAAAAAATGGCCCAAGCAGTACTAATATCAGTATATTCAACGATCATTCCTACCAAGTGAGTTTGTTCTTACAGATGTACAGAGGCAAAGAAGTCAGCTACCAGCTGCCCTTTGCCAGGCAAATGACTGAGAATGCTAATAATACCAACGACAAATAATAACGATATCAATTACAATGATAACCGCAGGTTTACCCCCACCCCCCTCCCCGTAGGTGTACCGCGCCCTTGGAGGCAAGGAGGTGGATGACCAGCTGGCGGTGGCGCGCTACCTGCGGGACAACCTGCACTTCGTCGACGCCCGCAGGATCGCCATCTGGGGCTGGAGCTACGGCGGCTACGTGACCACGATGGCACTCGCCCGCGAC